TTCTTATTGCGAAATAGGAGCAGTCTTTATCAATCTATAATAGAAGACGTGAGGAAATTCTGTCTTTTTTAAAGACAAAAATTTTTGAGGCGAAATACCCAACAAGAAGTTTGTAAAAAAAACTGATAATAATAAAACTCGAGTGATTAAATAAAATATACGGTTTATATAGTTGGAACATCACTTTTACAAAATATTTGCCAATTCGGTGCAGTTCCGGTTCTCGGTTTTTTTAAGTTAAAAAATTCAGTTTTTCAGTTTCGGTCCAAAATCTAGAGTCTTTTTCTTGTTTTTTGCTCCACTTTGTAGGAATTTAAAATAATGTCAATTCTGTTAAGGGCTATAAATGGACTATAAAAAAGTTTGTGCTCGCACTATATTATCTCGGATCACAGTGCCATCTAAGTATTTTTAAGTCCAGAATATTATCATCGATCGGCTCAGACCTAAATTGTAACACCGCCACAAGTGGCAATGTTGAGCCATTAAATGTATTTTATTGCCATTCGCCATGCTCTAAAAGTTTATTCGAAAACAATATGTGTACCAGAATTATACAGGGTGATTTAAAATTGGAAATAGAATGTACTTATTTCGGTCCTGTTGTGGAAGACTAGCAAAGTAGTATAGATAAATCGATTAATAGTATATTACGGTACAAAAGACGAAAATCGAAGTTTCGCCACTGCTTGAAGTTGACGCCTGAGGCGAAGCCAAGACTGTCAACTTCAAAACTTTGAAAATGTTGTCAAAACAGTCAACTGACAGTCAGTGACAAAGTCAAGTTGACTGTGCGCGTGGCGAAAGTTATTACTTTCCGCACGAGATGGAGAAAATTGGTAATGGGTAAAAGTGTGCTTTCGCCATCGAAAACCGTGGCGAAAGTAGGTACTTTCCACCCGGGGATCAAGAAAATATATATTTTTGGCACGCAATGAGACTTTTGCCAAAAACTATATCACCATATATATACAGCATATATACAGGTATACAGCATTTTTGATGCAAATCTGCAAACGATGTGATTTTGAAATTTTGATCGAATGTTTATCATGGTACCAATTTGAAATAACTTTTCAGTGTCGTCGCATCGAAGGTTTAGTGTGTGTGTTTATTGTGTGTTTACGCACTATTTTTTAACTGTAGAACAGGTCCTACACGGTACTTTGGGGAACACCACAATTTACATTTTTAAAAGTACGATACTCTTCAATATCAAATAAGGAGGGAAATCAAATAAAATAAATGTAATAATAAATGTAGGAATAATAATAAAGTCAATATTGTCAGTTTGCAAGAGAACCGAATGAATGCTACAAGATTTTACAAAGAGATCAAAAATGTGAAAAGAGGATGATGCATTAATCCTCAAAAAATGAGTTGATTCCATCTACCACATAAAAAGTTCTGGTAGTTTTTCACTCAAGAATTCATGGATCGTATCATTTCATGACTATTTAAAAAAAATGATTATTTTTGGAAAACTTTGCCCATCAATAGCAATGGAGCCGGACAGTTTTGTTAATAAAAGTTAGGTCTATTTGGTCCTCATTTGAGCTAGGAGTGTCTGTGCCATTTTGATCATATGCCTACGGGACACCTAGTATATTCCCTTCCAAAAACGTTTTGTAGCATCAAACTGTACATGCATGTTATGTTTGATCTACAAATATAATATAAAAATACACTTTATTTTTTAAACTCTTTATAATATTCACACGTTTATACAATTAAAATAACTGGTCAGCAATATTAAAGTTGTGTGCAAAAGTACTGTTACAAAGTACTATTCCTGTTACATTGTGACAAAGATCCTGGCTGGGTCAATGGATCATGGGATCACGGCTGGATGACGATTGGATGAGGTTGTAGATGGAATGGCTCTTCGCAATGACTGTTAAATACATTGTTGTATGCACTTTTAGTCACATAGTAGCATATTTAGAGGTGACCTTGATTGTAGACTTGATATCACATGCATGTTGACGTGATTCTGTGCGAAATAGTGTGAAGTAAAAATTTTGAACATCGTTTACATCGACAACAGCGCCATCATCAAATTTAAAATTTATATGTAAATACAATTTGATATTAAAAAAAAATCGTTTTTTACCACTTGACCATATAATGCTGATCGAGGTTACTACCTCGTGTATTCACATTTTTTTAAACTAAATTTATTTATAATTGCTTTCTTATGTTACATAACACTTATCAGAATTGAGTTGCTAAAAAATTGTACCTGCTTATTTCCTAGAAGGTAGTGAAGCAAAAACGAGCGAAACACGCGACCATGAACATGAACTTAAAAAAATTATTGGTTCTGCATGATGGTTCATTTATGGAACTTTACGACTGAATAATGATTTTTTCCATACTTAACAGAAACTTTTATACCAAATTATTTCCGGCCTTCACTGTCAACAGGATATCGCAAACTAATGACGTACAAAAATGTTCTCATTTCTTGATGCTGATTATAATTTAATGATTAATTTAATAATTAAAATAAGGTATTAAGGACAAAGCAATTTTGTTAAATTAATTAAAAATATTGTTTTACTTTTCTGCCCCCGAATATATTGGCCGGTAAACCCAAGCTCTAGTCAAGCTTGCTAAAAAGGCGTTTTCAACATTTTCAAGCCAATATCTGCAAGTGGCTCTCTATGTAAAAGATACGCAGTCTAAAAGCATTAATTATGTGTTTACACGCAGAAATTATTAATTGGTTTCAGATTTGCACCACGTCATAAAGATAAACGAATCCTTAATAATGCGAGTAGAAACATGAATTATTTTGAATAGTCACGAAGAGCCCTTTGGTCATGCAGCATACACTTGATTCTCTTATTTTCGATTTTTACCCTGGCAATACCACAGGATGTCCCGGAAGAAGTGCATTATTTACTTTTCCTCTGCATTAATTCAAATAGTATTAAGTTCAATAAACTTAATTCATAATATAAAACGGAGCAATGAATTCACTCAACATATTGCATCATTGCGATACAAGTTCAATAGCAAATGGTATTGTTATTGCATCAAATTAATGTTAAGGTTACTACAGATTGGCATGCGTTGCATCTACACCTAGCTGTTCATTGCTTTACCAAAATAATTTCAGATTTGTTACAACTGCTGGAGCTTTAGAAAATAGTTTAAGAACTTTTGAAAAATTATACTCTATTTAATCTTCTATTTACGACTCTTCGATGTTCTCTTGACAAAACTTTAAACTTTTCGACGACTTACAATGGTGTTAACAATTTAGTTTCAATTGTATCAACATTAAATAGCCATATTTATTCACATGAAAATTGCAAACAGGTTTTCTTAATATTTCATCGTTCTTTGCATTGTTTTTTGAATTGTTGGAATTCAATGCTTAAAAGTAAAAGGATCAATTAATGGGTAGTTAATTATACAAGATATCCACGTGCATTTGCCTTTATTTTACTTCGCAACAACTATAGGAGAGGCTCGTATTATTAAATGTGAAAGTGTTTTATATTTTTTTCTGTAGCTGCGCTGATATCAAGAATATATATCCGGATTCGATTCATACAGACACACACAGCTTTTCTGAATTTTTGTCTTTCGATTCGAGCTTTGAGGGTGAATAGGTGTTGCAGACGACCTACAAATAAAACATGAAATAAATTAGTTTGGGTCCAAAATTAAAACACTTTGTAAATTGAGGCAAATATAACAAAGTACCGCCTTTCCATGAAACTTTATATTTTTCCTTAATAGTCAAATACCTCTTGGCTGCGGCCAAATTCGCAATTCAAAACTGCTCCTCCTTTATCAAATTGGGCGCTACTTAAGGTGGTCGGTGCATCCTCCAAATGTAAATGCAACAAAAACGTTCAATTCTTCGTCGATAAAGTTTATATAAATAGCTATAAAAGTAGTTTGGTTTTTGGTTAGTGTTATTGTATTAAATGAGCCGTTTCCCATGTCAAGAGTTCATTGCGATTTGTTTACTGAATGTGAAAAACAGCCACTAAACAATGAAATCATTAATATCGCATATTAATTAACGAACAAGTGTATTCAATAAACCAATATTAATTACACTAGCTGCTTATGATTCATATAATCATCTATTATATGGATAATTATTGCAAAATTAAAACGTTTTATTATTGTTGGACGGAACTCCACGTAAAGTGTAAATCAAATACATTACGATGTTTCCCAATTACCGAAATCATCATCTCAAATCTTCAAAGTGGAATATCAGTTATGGTTAAATTTGCAACCGAAAAATTATTTTTGCAACAAATATCGTTAGTATTTTTGAATTTTTTACGCCAATAAATATATGTATATATACTGTGGCTATAACTACATATTTTCCTTGTGAAAAGGTATTGTTTTTGTTGCAAAAAAATACAATTAGTGATGAAAAAATTGTGCGGCCTCCACAGTGAACCTTGCGCCCTCCTGCATACATTGATCACGTGGACTGCAGATCTATTATATGTTATATACAAATACAGATAATATAAAAAAACACTTTGTTTATGTAAACTCTATAATTTTGACTGGTCAGCAATATTAAAGTCTTGTGCAAAAGTAGTGTTGCAATCTACTATTCCTGTTACATTGTGACAAACATCCTGGCTGGATCAGTGATCATGGGATCACTGCTTGAAGACATTGTTGTAGGCACTTGGTCACATACTAGCATATGTAGAGATGACCTTGATTGTAGACTTGATATAACAGATCTATAAACAATCGATTTCCTCTCCCCATATAAATACTTTCCTTTTTAAATTACGCTTATTCTCAACAGTAGTCTCAGTGAGAATAGCGTATCTTCAGCACGAAAAGCAGCAGAGAGAACAGAAAATTAAATTGTTAATTTGTATTGTACTTAGGACGTGAAAGTGAATATATTGAATCTCGTTGTGTCGTGGACTACTTTTTTAGTATTTAAAATTACGTTCCTAATAGGAGAAAGTTATTTATCTGCGCAGATCGACTTATAAGAGACTTTTCGGTATTTTTCTTCTCTCGTTTGCAAGTTTGGTTGAAGATTTTGTGAACGAAATGGATGCCGAGCAGTTTAGAGAATTTGGAAAAGCGGCAGTGGATTATATAGCTGATTATTACGAAACTATAAGAGACAGGTAAGTGTGGGGACCTTTACTATTGAATTTAGAACTTAAGTATATTTTTCATGTACATGTTTTTACGACACATTTGGTAATTTTTTTTAATGTTTTTTTCATTCCATTACATTTTATTTGTAATAATCGTTGTTCAGCTAAATTAGCCAACTTTTTGCTTATTCTTTTAATAACGAAGCCTTAAACGTAAAAGTCATCTGGTTGGTACTTAAATATTAGGTTCCTGCTCACAATAGTTTATGACCCAAAATCGGTATTTCTTCGATTATTTCTGGCCAATTTTTTTAAATTTTCAACTGTTCCTCGTTTCTGTATCCTCGACGGCACCACGAAACAGAGAAAAAACAAATTTCAAGACGATCTATACCATGATGTATATTATTATCTAAAAAGTGACATTACAAAGTATTTAAACATTCGGGAGCTCACCATATGTATGTTTAATTTGTTTAATAAAACTGCAGGAAATTTTTGACTATTTTGCTTTGGAAAGTTGTGTCCACTCTTTGAAAGGGGTCAGAAATCGTATTAAAAATGCGTAATAGATGAGTTATCTCTCAATGAATAATAATAATCAAAAAAAATGTATGTGACAAATAGTCTACTGAATATATCTAGGGTTATTGATTATAAATGGAGCGCTCTTTTAATTTGTTTTTATTTTTTAAACACAGGTGAGTGTTATACCGAAACTTCGACAAAAGCTGCATCGTTTGCGTCAATTTTGCAACTAAAAAAAAACACGCAAATCACGAGCAAACCCGCGATGGAAAACATCAAATTTTGGCATAATCTTGCTCCTTAGTGTTTGATATTTAAATTTCGGTTTCTGGGTCAAAACTACTCCAATTTCGTCACTCATGTTGTTATGACTGAATGGAATTTTGAATTCTCTATCCAGCGGTGACAAAACGAATTCTGTGGCTCAAATTGTTCTTGAGAAACTTCTAAAAAAGCAGCGTCGTTGGAGTCGATTTTGCAGCTCAAAAAAAAGCACGCAAATATAAAACTTCTTGAAATCATTACTATTTTGAGAAAACCGCCAACAATTCTTCACGCTTCAAATCTGGATTCTCCTTGTAACTCTAGAAGAAATTAGCAAAAACGGGATGGAAAACATTAAATTTTGGCATAATCTTGCAACTAAGTGTCTGATATTCAAATTTTACTTTCTGGGTCAAAACTACTCCAATTTCGTCACTCATGTTGTGATGACTAAATAGAACTTTCAATTATCTATCGAACGATGCCAAAACGAATTCTGTGGCTCAAATGGTTCTTGAGAAATGTCGAAAAACGCAGCGTCATGTTTGAGTCGATTTTGCAAACTCAAAGGAAAAACTTCAACAATCAACCTCAACATCAAAACTTCTTGAAATCAAGACTTTTTTGAGAAAATTGCCAACATTTCATGATGGATGGGTCACTTTCTAGAAAGGCCATTTATTTCTCTCTAGAATGATGTACAAATGAGCGTTCTTGCTCATTTTGCCTCCGAGAAATGAGCAAAAACGTGACGGAAAACACGAATTTTTGGCATAATCTTGCACCTAAGTGTCTCATATTCAAATTTCGCTTTCTGGGTCAAAACTACTCCAATTGCGTCACTCATGTTGTGATGACTGATAGGAATTTTCAATTCTCTATCCAACGGTGCCAAAACGAATTCTGTGGCTCAAATAGTTCTTGAGAAACTTCGGAAAAAGCAGCGTCGTTTGAGTCGATTTTGCAGCTCAAAAAAAAACAGGCAAATCTTAAACTTCTTGAAATGGAGACTTTTTTTAGAAAACTGCCAACATTTCCTTATCGATAGTTCACTTCCTCAAAAGTCCATTTAGTTCCCTCTGGAATGATGACAAAAGGAGCGTTTTTGCTCATTTTGCTTCCGCGGAATGAGCAAAAACGCGGTGAAAACATGAAATTTTGGCATAATCTTGCAACTAAGTCTCTGATATTCAAATTTTGCTTTCTGGGTCAAAATTACTCAAATTTACTCACTTCATTTGCTCAGGCAATATAATCGTACAATAATAACAATTGTATTATCGATACCATTAATATTACAGGCCGGTTCTTTCTAATGTTGAGCCGGGCTACCTGGGCGATCTTCTTCCCAAAGACCCTCCACAGTCGGGAGAATCTTGGCGAGACGTTCTAGAAGACGTGGACAGAATAATCATGCCTGGAATAACACATTGGCACAGTCCGCATTTTCATGCATACTATCCAACAGCTCAATCTTTTCCCAGTGTTGTTGGTGAACTTATGAGTGCCGGGTTCGGTGTTGTTGGTTTAAGTTGGGTGAGTAATTTTTTCACTATTATGTAGCTCATCACATGAAATTGAATGATGAAAACCGGCATTTATCACGTCGTCCGCGTATTATGTAATCGAAATATTGCGATCTGTGTCTCATTTTTTCTTCCGCCGATGAAGACGGTTGATTACCATTATACATAATGGGGATGTGGGTCAACACATGTTTAAGGTTTTCGAACATATAACTTCTAACATGTATGGAAAATTATTTCAGCCGCCACGTTAATTGTTGAAACAATTTTTAAAGTTGCTAAATATTATCTCAGTTACGTAAAGTGGAATTGGGTCAAATTGCGGCCGGCGGGCAGTAAAATGGCAATTGAGCGAAGATTTTCATTGAGTATGTTCCTTCATAAACTGTGAGGAACTTGCAAATAAACTACTTTTGCGCAAACCAAAGCTGCATGAGATTTAGGACTATTCGAATCAGTCGAGAACTAGTCAAAGCAAAGCTTAATAGTGAATAAAAACGCGAAGGGAAAATTATATAGACACTTTGTTGCTAAATTTCCACTAAATACTGGCCAGAAACTAGTAGCATTAGATCACCTTGCAATGCCTGAGAGAACATTTCTATGCACAGAAGCATAACTTTTGCTTGATTAAACAAGTTTAATCAGTATAGAAGACCGTCTTGCGTTCAGGAGTCGTGGATTTATGTCATCTTTGCCGACTTTATCTCAGCAAAAACAAACGATATTTTATTATAATTTTTAGTTCGCTTGAAATAGTGGATTGTCAGCTTTCTCAAATTGTTCAAAAGCAGATGGTGGTTGGATTAATGCCACTTTCATATGTAACTGCCCTTGACCCCAAGCCATATTTTGCCCACATTTTGCTATATTTACCGAGAGATGTTCTCATACGATGATTTAAATAACCATAGGGAAAAGCTTAGCGTTAAAGCAACGTTCTCCACATAACAATGCTTGTATTTGCGGTTGAGAAATTTTACGAAACAGTGGCGCAATGTGTGTTTTTTCTGGTACTTTCTTTGAAAACTTGGTCAATTTATCATTCCTACCGGAAAGTCAAACTGGAGCTGAAAAAATCAGTAACTGAATCAGTGAAATTTATTAATAGTTGTGAGAATTCCCAAATGAACGGACGTTGAAAAGCGATTCAACATTAACTTAGTATGAAACACATTAAGAAAGTTTTTTCAGCTTATTTACCAGTTCACACCATGTAAGAACAATAGCGACGTGATAGTTAATATAAATCAAAACTTTAAAAATATATGAAACGAGGAAACTTGGGTTATTAGCGAATTTTTAACGCAATGTTTTATTAGAGAATCACTGAACGTTTTTTATATTTCAGATTGCAAGTCCTGCAATGACAGAACTGGAAGTGGTAATGATGAATTGGTTAGGCCGAATGCTTGGTCTTCCTGAGCAATTTTTAAATTGTTCAGAAGGACCTGGAGGCGGAGTAATTCAGGTAACAAGAGCAACAATTGAAGGTTTATTATTTTTTGGGTACACTGATGAATGTGTATTTAAACTCTCGAACAGCTTTAAATCAGCTTTAACCGGCTGTTTATTACTATTAGTTTATATATGTCGGAATAACGTATCTACAACATAAAAAAAATTATAAAAAAAGCTTCAATCTTATGGCAATGCTATTTTTCAAATAACTCAAGTTTTAACGTTTAAAATGTTGTGCTAGTGCTTTATGATTCACTCGAAAGAAATAAAAATAGTTTTTCGATTGAAGGAAAAATTGTCGCTTTTTGATCGGAAGCCATGATTTTAATAACTTCGTTCTACTTTTCCGTACGGAATTCGGAAAACGGAAAACAGAAGAAAGTAAATGTGTTAACAGAATCTAATTATATATTTTTTATTTCAAAATAACCCACATCCTTGCTGAAAAAAATATTGGCAAAATTATATTGTTACCATTATTTAGCTTTTAAATCAATCAAAAAAGCATGTGGGATAACTTTAAATGTAGACGATGTTGAACGAGCCAGGTTTAAAGCGGTTCTTTATGATCATTGCTTCCAATCGAATGAGACATTTTTTAACTAACTCGAATTGAAAATGTATTTCCAAACATGTGCATTGGAAATATTTAACTGTTCAAGTGCTGTTTTGACAAATTTACTTTTTATCTTTTGATCGGTACCTTAACAATGTTAAAAAGTAACTCAACACCTTCATGCTCTAATAGCTTCTATGGAGATGTATGAGAATTACACAGAAAACCATCTGGAATTAGTAAAAGAGTGCTATTCCAAATGGCCCTCGTTTTCTTCTAAGCATAAATGGACCCTTCGCCGAAAATTAAAGTCTACTTTATTCGATAATTGTATTGTATATTGTAAAATATTTATTAATCACATTGTACGATATTGATAATTTCTCCATACAAAGCTTAGCAATACACCCAGGGCAGAAAGACCCATCGGTCGACAGCCTTTTCTAAAAAATAAAGATTTTTACTGCTACTTTATCAATTTGTTTCTAGGGATCCGCAAGTGAATCCACTTATATAGGACTTTTAGCCGCCAAGGATAAAAAAGTCAGAGAACTAATGGAAACGAATCCCTCGTTAACTGAAGCTGAAATCAAAGGAAAACTGGTGGCTTATTCTTCTGATCAGTCAAATTCCTCTGTGGAAAAAGCTGGACTTTTAGGTAAGTAAAGTGTAATTTCCAATAATTCAGGGAAACGTTAGTGTCACACGATTGATCTGAATCCATCTCGGTTTCAAGTGCATCAGCCAAAAATTAATTTATCTCCGATTTGAATCAATATATACAACAAGAGCATTTGCAACGAGAAAATGTGCTAAAAATATGTGTAACCGCTTCTGTTTTCGTTTCAACATATCTTTCAGTACAAAATGTGACCAAACAAGGTGAAAAACTACATTGTTTCAAAAGTATTGTTTTAAATGAGAACTTAGTAGCCATTAGCTCACAACATTCCTTATTTTACTACTTGATATAGGAGACAATTCCCTAGGGAATTTTATCCAAGCAAGTTAGAAAATCTGTATGTAGAATGTATTGTTTAATTTGCAAAAGATGTGGTCAGTTAAGTTAATAGCGCAAAAAAAACTCTCTATTAACCGATTAACCCAAGCATACCAACAAACATCTTTACCCAATTAGTATCACTGTAACGAAAAAACCTGGAACATAATTTTTTAATAGTTTACATGTTTTAGAATCCTGAACAATACTATTTAGATTAAAACTTTTTAAATTGAAAATCCAAATTTATACGTGGCAAGTTCTTAAACGGTAGCATTCACCGAACCCCGATCGGAACACAAATCCATTATTTAATCACGCTCATGGTTTTGCAATAGTTTTATTATTCTTGGAACTTTATTTACCTTTGATGAAGCTAAAGATTTATCTGGATTGTACTGTTTTTATTTATTCATGAATGTTACTGAGAAGAAACTGTTTTACGCAAATTATCAGTTCACTAAAAGCTTTCTTTCGGCCGTTTAATTAAAAGCTTTGAACAATTTTTGTTTTAATCGAGTTGAGTTAAAACGTTTAACAGCCCCAGGTTTCCGTTTTGAAAACACAACAGACTCGAAAATATTCCTAAAATTTCCTTCATTAAAATTAATTCTTAAAACCATTTAAATACGGTTTTAAGCTCAAAAGTCAATTTCAACAACAAACCGCATGTTTCTACTCCTCCTTTAATTATCCCACATTCATAATTGCGAAGCGATTATTCACAAAGGATTATACACATTGTCTGCGATAATTGTTAAGTTGGAAAGTTGTTTGATATATGTAAATTTAATACCAATTAATTCTTATTAAAAAAAGTTTTCAAGGTTATTAGCCAATTATGTTTTTTTTTTAGTTTTTAGCCATGTAATCTAATCGATTGCTGGATTTTTAAAATGCCATTAATATAAGTAATGCAATTAGACGGTCGAATTTTGTTGCAATCCATATAAATGAAGAAATTGAAGATTTGTGAAGATAGATTGAGTGTCTAAACCTATTTTCGGTTCAATCTCTTTATAAATGAATATTCCCATTTTATTACGTAATAAAAAATTTATTACGGTCAAATTAACCACTTCTGGTTGAAAGCACTACAAGTTTTTTCAATGTTTCGGTCGCATGACTTGCCACTTCTGTTAAATATTTTTTTTAAGCAACCTTCATTTACACAGTAATATTTTTGATAAATACAGCTTTTATATTTCTTACACAATATAATTGGTTAAGTTTCGTTTCTCTTAGGAAGACGAATATTAACAATTAATAAAAACAAATCTATAAAGCTCAGTCAACTAAGAGAACGCGAGGAAACTTGCAGAAACAACATTGGCACATCACTAGAAAATGATCTTATGATTCAAGGAGTGATACATTAAATCAATATACAGGCTGTTCTGTAAATATGTTACAATATTTTCACAGCGTGTTCTTCTAGTAATTTTAGAGGGGAGTCTTCCTGAGATTTTTTTTAATTTGAGGTCTCGTTTTTGAGATATTTGATCTTACTTAAAACATTTAAGCTTAAAAACACTTCAGAGCGATGAGGGTGACGAGTTTTCCAAATATTGATTGTATGCTTTTGCTTTCTCTGCTCGTTTTTTGACAAAACCTAAATTTTGTCGAAACAAAACAAGATAACTTTGTTTCGATTTTAAAATAAAGCAAAACGGGTATTCGAAAACGACGATAAASAAGACCAAACTGTAAAGACGACGWCTTTTCTTGTAAATCCATTTTTTAACTTTTTTGCATAAGAGACTCAGTTTTCCAGTAGTTTACAGTRAAACGTTAGAACAAACGCGTTGTTCYGTTTATARAGAGTTTTGYTTAGAAATATTGACCTAAAAGTGAAGAAACCGRAATTTAAATAAACCAAAACAAAAGTGACGAGTTTTCCGAAKWATTGATAATAATAACTTTCACTTATTCTGTTTARGGAAATATTTTCCTATTTTCTAGAAGAAATTATTAGGGTCTTGTCCAAAATTGGAAGCTGCAAAAGGTWCTAGAAAAAAATGTACAAAGCYGTTCASKAGTGTTCCAATAAMATGTATTTTATAATTTTACCTGAAGACTGTCARTATTTTAAGTAAAATTAATAKGTTTTTGCGGATAAAGAATTGCKTAATWGAAACTTTGCTAAAACTGGAATGACCTGCAATTTTARAGAAACTTGAAAACTCTGAAAACTCTTCAGAGCGATGARCGCGGCGAATTTTTCAMATGTKTTTTTGGAAACTTTTGCTGTCTGGCCGTTTTTTTCAAGACAATTTTAATTACTTTCGGTAAAAAACTGAATAAAATTATTTGRTTTCTGTGCCAAATTCGAARCMYAAAAGGKTTTCCTAAAGTTCCCTGCAAACCGACGAATGAGGCGAATTTTYTAGCAAAATWAAYTTTGTCATTTTTGGCTGCAAAGACCCCATWATTGYSAGAAAAGAARAAAATCATCAGARAATAATGWTTTTTTGCGTTTTTCATTAAAAACTTTAAGTTTTGTGATCGGTTTTTGAGAAAATCKTAATGATTTTCGGGAAGAAGCGAGAGAAATTTATTTTCGTTTTTGTCCCGAATTCGACGTTGAAAAGTTTTTGTAAAATCCCTACAAAGCTGTAGATTTATCTTCAAATGTTTCGCGTTACAGACCTTCAGATCGTCAGTATTTTTAAGTGAAACTGTACAAAATAGAGCCTTTTTGAGTGGAAAGAAAGTAAAGCGAAAAAAATCAGTCAAAACTAAGAAACCCACATTTTTTAACACGCTCTGCAGTCTTCAGAGGAATGGAGATTAAGAATTTTCCAAATAATTTATTATAAACTTTCAGTGCTTCTGTTCGTGTTTTGATAGAAACTTATTTGATTCTTGTCCCAAATTCGAAGCTGGAAAGAGTGTTCTAATAAAATTGATTGCACAATTTTGCGCGAAAAATGCCTGAAGATTCAGAAGTCAGTATTTTGACGTAAATCTTTAGAAAATTGAGCATTCAGAAAAAAGAGCAACTTTGCTAAAACCGGAAAATTCAGAAGAAGTGTTATTGATAAATTGCCCTTAAAATAAATCTGAAAACGAGTAAAAAAGTCATCAACATTTTCCTAGCAACGGAACTGAGTTACTGCGCCGGGGCGTTGGGTTGGTGCATCAAGCGATTTGCGAAGCACTGCGCCAACTCCCAAAAATTTTTAACTTTAACAAATACTTTTCAATCAATGTCTGGAGCTTGCAAAAATAGGTACCTAAAGAATGTAAAACTTCCAAAGTAATGCTAATATTTGAAAAAGGTAACCACCTGAAGAACTAGAGATAATGGGGATGTTTTGAGCCCATTGCTTTTAATGTTCCCATGGTTGAGATCTTAGGTGATTCTGCGGATAAAATAAGAAATTTACTCTTTGTTCTCTCGACAGCCGGCACTTTTTCTGAACGGCTGTAGCAATTAAAATTTTTCTCCTGAAACAATTGGGGTAGGACTCTCTACTTATAACCGAGAATCACCCTTTTCCGAACGCTTTGTTCTGAAACACAGATAAAAGAGTTTATAAACACATAAATCAAAGTCAAGAAGTCATTAGAATTTCATATATTTCATTGTTTTTATAGGATCGATGAAAATGAGATTACTGCCAACAAATTCAGAAGGACAACTTGTCGGAGCCGCATTGCAAAAAGCACTCGACGAAGACAAAAGAGCTGGTCTAATACCTTGCTACGTTGTTGCAAATATAGGTAATTATGCATTAAATTCACCATTCTTAATTCAGTGCTTATGCGCAGGAGCATACGCAGTGACGATCTGTCAATTCGTCCGTCTTCGTACGAATTGACAGATCTCCAACCAATAGAAACACTTTCGTACCATCGTATCATCGTCTTTTCGCCTTTCTCTACTGTTGAAACAATCGCGATACATTTCGCAGTTCAACTGATTCCAGTCGGATGAACACAGAAATTGAAATTCATTGATCTAGTTGTCTGCAAAATGTTCAGTATTCATCAAAAAAAGTAACGAAACCATGTTCTACAAAGGCAAGATTCCCAATTTTCAATTTTTTTTCAATTTCGCCGTTAATGAGGAAACGTTTTCCCTCAAATACAAGGAGGAAGGAACAAAATGTTAACCCCATATTCCAGCTCCAAAATCAATTTTGAAATTGTTTTACAGGTACGACTCCAACATGTGCATTTGACAATTTGGAAGAACTTGGTCCAGTATGTAACAAAGAAAATATATGGCTACACATCGATGCTGCTTACGCAGGATCAGCATTTATCTGTCCCGAGTATCGGCACCTAATGAAAGGCGCTGAAATGGCCGACTCTTTCAACTTCAACCCTCACAAATGGTTGATGGTCAACTTCGATTGTTCAGCCATGTGGGTGAGGGACGCCCAATATCTTGTGGAAGCTTTCAACGTTGAAAGAATTTATTTGAAAGATCAACACAAAGGTTTAGCGCCAGAATACCGACACTGGCAAATAGCGTTGGGCAGGAGATTCAGAGCTTTAAAGTTGTGGTTTGTTTTGCGAATTTACGGAGTGGAAGGTTTGCAAAAACACATCAGGGGCCAAATTGCTTTGGCCGAATATCTATCCGACCTGGTGAAAAGTGATAACCGCTTTGAATTATGCACCTGCAGTATGGGACTAGTAACATTTAGATTAAAGGGCGAAGATTCTCTTACAGAAAAGCTGTTAGAAGATATTTCAAAGAAAAAGGAATTATTCCTAGTTGCCGGGCATATGAATCACAAACTTGTTGTCAGATATGCAATTTGCAGTAGATTAACTGAAAAAAGAGACGTTGACTTTTCATGGCGCCAAATAACCGAGACAGCGGAGCAAATCATACCAACGCCTAAAAAATCGCTCACGAAGTCGGATAAACAAATACACCCAGTCCTTAATATTAACTGCATAAATCCTAATCTGGAAAAATCTAAGTAACACTGATAATGAGCACAAATTAGTAATAATAATAGTACTCGATAAGTATAATTAAAATGAAATGTCGGCAGCGCTGTGTGATGATAAATACATTTTAGTAGTTTATTTATGTGTGAGCAAAGTTGTAAAATAATGAACACATACTTCCCAATAAAGTGTTAGCAGACAATAGGAAATGAAGTTTTTTTAACATGCGTTTCTCCTCGTGGTGCGTGTGTAATGTAATTCCCTTTTGAGCAGAGCAACAAAAAGTGAAATAAAATCCAAAAGGATTTGCTTGTTGAAAAACAAGTACGGAATGTTTGATTTGTACCAGCGGTTAGCAACCTGCGGATTGCAGTTCGTGAGCCTCTCGACAGGAATTTGACGTTATGACGCCGCACGAACGAAAGTGCTTCAAATACTTGTCTAGCGATTATTGATGAAATTTTTTTTCGATCGTGAACGCTCAAACGACTCTCAAAAGTGAACGCTCAAAAAACGCTTAAAATGTGCCGAAAATGTCTATTATTTCAGATTTAAAACTTCTAGAATGTTTTTCAATTTGTTCAAATTTAAGACATTTTGAGAAAATTGTAATTTTTTCAAAAAATCGACCCTCACCCTTGGAAAAATGTCGGCCAAAAATCAAAATTTAACATACGTGGTTTTTCAGCTCAATCGATTGCTTTCGACGTAAGAAGGTCACAAATATGCATTTATAAAATGTTTGGGTCAATAATAAGGAAGAAATCGTCCGCTAAAGATCGTGAACGCTCAAAAAACGCTAAAATGTGCCGAAAATGTCGATTATTTCGGATCTGAAACTTCTACCATCCTTTTAAATGCGTTAGAGGCATTCCTCGCCTCCGTGAGCTGAAAGTGAAAAGCGTGTTTTTTGAGCTCAATCGATTACTTTCGACTTAAGAAAGTCAAAGATATGCATTTATGAAATGTTTGGGTCAATAATAAGGAAGAAATCGTCCGCTAAAGATCGTGAACGCTCAAAAAACGCTTAAAATGTGCCGAAAATGTCTATTATTGCGGATCTGAAACTTCTAGAATATTTTTCAATTTGTTCAATGCATTCCTCGCGTCCGTCAGATCAAAATTATGTAAAATTTAAGACATTTTGAGAAAATTGTAATTTTTTCGAAAAATCGACCTCCACCCTTGGAAAAATTTCGGCCAAAAATGAAAATTTCACATGCGTGTTTTTTGAGCTCAATCGATTGATTTCGATGTAAAAAGGTCAAAGATATGCATTTATAAAATGTGTGGGTCAACAATAAGGAAGAAATCGTCGGCTAAAAATCGTGAACGCTTAAAATGTGCCGAAAATATCCATTATTTCGGATCTGAAACTTCTAGCATTTTTTTCAATTTGTTCAATGTATTCCTTGCGTCCGTGATATGAAAATGATGTAAAATTTAAGACATTTGGAAAAACTTGTGATTTTTTCAAAAAATCGACCCTCATCCGTTTTCGATCAAAAATCAAAATTTCACATGCGTGTTTTTTGAGCTCAATCGATTCCTTTCGACGTAAGACGGTCAGAAATGTGCATTTATAAAATGTTTGGGTCAATAATAAGAAAGAAATCGTCCGCTGAAGATGGTGAACGTTCAAAAAACACTTAAAATGTGCCGAAAATGTCGATTATTTCGGATCTGAAACTTCTAGCATGTTTTTCAATTTGTTCAATGCATTGCTCGCGTCCGTTATATGAAAATGATGTAAAATTTAGGGCATTTTGGAAAAAAAAAAATTTCAAAAAATCGACCCTCACTTGGAAAAATTTCGGCCAAAAGTCAAAATTTCACATACGTGTTTTTTGAGCTCAAGCGATTGCGTTCGACGTAAGAAGGTCAAAAATATGCATTTATAAAGCGCTTGGGTCATTAATAATCAAGAAATCGTCGGCTAAAGATCGTGATCTCTCAAAAACACGCTTAAAAATTGCCGAAAATGTCTAGTAATAACGATCTGAAACTTCTACGATGTTTTTCAATGTTTAACCCTTTAGCATTGAGAAGTGAATCTCAACTTTTGAACAGACAAAAGATTTAAGTAATGAGTGTTAGCGCCCTGTAGATACGCCATTACTGAGTTTATGACAAAGTGTTATAGGAAATTGTCATTTCACTCATTTTTGCCGTAACCACCTTGTTAAGTATTAGTCTATGATTTCCAGACATCCTGTATGCCTCTATTACAAAACCATAAAAATTTGACAAAGTTAACAAATCGCCACATCAATTTTGTACTTATTTATTTGCCTGGTTACAGCTTTACCACATAGTACAGGCTTAGAAGCATTCCTGAGATAATTCTAAATTATGTAATCGAAATTTTCCAACTTATAAAACTTCTAATCCCGTCTTATATTTAATAAAGAGGTAAAAAGCTAGACTGTACACACTACAAAGGATCCAGCATTGCAGAAACATATTTTACATTATTTTACCACTGTGAATTATTCTGTTCGAAGTAACTAGTTTGGAATACTTATGTTATTGCCGTATATTTCAACGGTTATACGTGATTGAGTTACACAGTTGAAACTGGGTCTTTACTATTTGCAATAGTTATTAGGACCTCATTCGTTGCATTCACGATTTCGTCCCACGATTTTTGAATATCCGCTCGAGTTGAGAATCTGCTACACACTACAAACCTAAATAATAGCTGCTTTTTGTAGTAGTAAGGCATAATATAAATGCATTTTTTCATAGCTATGCGCTCTAAAATCAGTTGCGTAACAGATTCGTCTTCAAGTAATCGGAAGCACACCACACCTAAGTTTGATACAACAACCGAGAATCTTGAGTCGCCACTGACCAGCTCCTCCATATAGTTAGCCAAAGCTATGTGGCGACGCACGTGCTGTTGGATGCCTTCTACTCCGTATATCCTGATCACAAACCATAACTTCAGAGCTCTAAATCTTCTTACATCTGGAATTTGCCTATGTTCTAATTCTGGCTTGAACTGCGGAACGCTTAGCGCAGCTTTGGTCTTAAAAGCTAACTCAACATATGTTGTGTTTCTAAACCACAATGCCGAGCAATCTCCATTGGTCAACATCCATTTATGTGGGTTAAAGTTGAACGAATCCACGTGTTCTATTCCATTGATCAGATGTCTGTATTCCGGACAAGATAATGCTGTGCCAGCATACGCAGCATCAATGTGCAACCACATTTTCTCGCTCTCGCATATCTTTCCGAGTTCTGCAATGTTGTCCATTGAACACACTCCAGTAGTCCCTAAAGATGCCACCACGCAAAACGGTACTAAACCGTTTATTTTATCACTCCTGATGGCTTCTTCTAAGACGGATCCCCTCAAGCTCCCATTTTGATCTGTTGGCAACAACCTCATTTTCACTGAAGCTATTAGACCAGCTTTCTCAACCGATGAATTTGACTCCTTGGAGGTGTACGCTACTAATTTGCCTCTAATTTCCCATTCGTCCATTAGAGGATTCTCAATTCGGAACTGTTGAATTTTTTTGTGGCTTGCTGACAGAATTCCCACCAACGTTGATTCACTTGCAGCATTCTAGAAAATAGTATAGACGTAAGCGTGCTAAAATAGGTTGTTACATTAGGCGAATTCAAACTCAAAACTATGAAAATGCAAATTCTTAAAGTAAGATGTTTAGGTAAATTTAATGTTCTTGCTTAAGCCAAAAAAAAACTATTAAAAAAGTTTGCATTGGCCTTGGAATACCTACTACCCACCTGTATGAGACCTCCACCAGGACCCTCAGAACAATTGAGAAATTCCTCCGGTAATCCCAATATTTTTGCAAGCCAATCCATCACTATTACTTCCAGTTCTACAACTGCAGGACTAGAATCCTAAAAACCGATTACATCTGATTATATATTATTACATTTGATAAGCCTCTGAATAAAGTCAGCTTCATATTGAAAATAGTACCCATTTTGTTGCAACGGCTCCGATGCCAGCCATGAAAAGTTCTCCAATTATAGCTGGGTAGGATTGTCCAGTTGGAAAAAAGGCGTGAAAATACGGAGAGTGCCAGTGTGTTAATCCAGGTATTATATTTCTATCCAGATCTTCCATTATGTGGTTCCAGTGTTCTCCTTTTTCTGGGGCGCACTTTGGCAGAGCGCGACTCAAATAACCAGGAGCCACACTAGGCAGAACTGGACTAGAAGAACAGAAAATTGAGGTTTAATAAACCCGCGTTGCTCTCAAAATGGATGTTTACTTATAAGTGCACTCTCTCTTTAAAAAAAATATTAATTCCAAACTAAAGAATGTAGCAGGTTGAAATTTTCACAGTTATTAGAAGACACTATACTCTAAATGTCCTGAAATTTTCTACAAAATCGCCGAGGATCCTGATTAGTTCTTGCCTAGTGAATGTTGGTCTCAAAGTTGACGTTTTTTCCTTAGTGCGCTCTCTCCTTTAAAAAATCATGAATTTTCAACTAAGAAAAGCAGAAGTATGAAATTTTTATAGTCCTTAAAGGACAGTTGACTCTAAAAAAGCTGACATTTTTGCCAAAATCGCCGATAATCCTGACTTTTTCCAGCCTAGTAGATATTGGTCTCAAAATGGATGTTTACGTATAAGTGCACTCTCTCTTTAAAAAATTGAAAAAATTCCAAACTAAATAAAGTAGCAGTTTGAAATTTTCACAATTATTAGACGATACTGGACTCTAACTGTACTAAAATTTTCGACACAATCGCCGAAGATCCTGATTATTTATTGCCTAGTGAATGTTGGTCTCAAAGTTGACGTTTTTCCCTTAGTGCGCTCTCTCCTTTAAAAAATCTTTAATTTTCAACTAAGAAAAGCAGAAGTATGAAATTTTCATAGTCCTTAAAGGACAGTCGACTCTAAAAAAGCTGACATTTTTACCAAAATCGCCGATAATCCTGATTTTTTCCAGCCAAATGGATGTTAGTCTCAAAATGGATGTTTACGTGTAAGTGAACTCTTTCTTTAAAAAAATTGTCAATTCCAAACTAAAGAATGTAGCAGGTTGAAATTTTCACAATTATTAGAAGACACTCGGCTCTAAATATCCTGAAATTTTCGACAAAATCGCCGAAGATCCTGAATAGTTCTTGCCTAGTGAATGTTGATCTCCAAATTGACGTTTTTCCCTTAGTGCGCTCTCTTCTTTAAAAAATCATGAATTTTCAACTAAGAAAAGCAGAAGTATGAAATTTTCATAGTCCTTAAAGGACAGTCGACTCTAAAAAAGCTGACATTTTTGCGAAAATTTCCGATAATACTGATTTTTTCCAGCCTAGTAGATATTGGTCTCAAAATGGATGTTTACGTATAAGTGCACTCTCTCCTTAAAAAAAATCCTCAATTCCAAACTGAAGAATGTAGCAGGTTGAAATTTTCACAACTATTAGAAGACGCTCGACTCTAAATGTGCTGAAATTTGTGACAAAATCGCTTAAGATCCTGATTATTTCTAGCCTAGTAAATGTTGGTCTCAAAGTTGACGTTTTTCACTTAGTGCGCTCCCCCTTTAAAAAATGTTGAATTTTGAACTAAGAAAAGTAGAAGTATGAAAGTTTCACAGTCCTTAAAGAACAATCGACTCTAAAAAGCTGACATTTTCGCAAAAATTTCCGATAATCCTGATTTTTTTCAGCCTAGTAGATGTTGGTCTCAAATGGATGTTTACGTATAAGTGCACTCTCTCCTTAAAAAAATCCTCAATTCCAAACTGAAGAAAATAGCGAGTTGAAATTTTCATAATTATTAGAAGACGCTCGACTCTAAATGTACTGAAATTTTCGACAAAATCGCCGAAGATCCTGATTAGTTCTTGCCTAGTGAATGGTTGGTCTCAGAATTGACGTTTTTCCCTTAGTGCACTCTATCCTTTAAAAAATCATGAATTTTCAACTAAGAAAATCAGAAATATGAAATTTTCACAGTCCTTAAAGGACAGTTGACTCTAAAAAAGCTGACGTTTTCGCCAAAATCGCCGATAATCCTGATTTTTTACAGCCTAGTGGATGTTGCTCTCAAAATGGATGTTTACGTATAAGTGCACTCTCTCCTTAAAAAATTCCTCA